CAAGAAAAATGAGATTTCTTATGGTTCATGGATTTTAAGTTGGTTTTACTTTCTTAAGTTGTTAAATATTTGAAGACTTTGGCTCTAAACTAATATTATCTTATGGTTAATATACATTTGGTCCAACTCAAAATGAGGACCTTAAAAGAGCAAGACTGAATGTACTACAATTCAGTAGGATTTCCATTCTTAAGTTCAAACTTTATGAACGACAAATTTGATATTGATATATATTCTCACACTCTTAATATAAATATACAGTTGCATAAAAGAATAATATTTAAAATGAAAAAAAAATGTAGCCTTTAACATTCAATTTCAATTTACCGTTCTCATTCATAAAAAAAATATATCAGTTCACCATTTGGCTTCGAGGCAATTTCATCGTATCAAAGATATGTTTTCCATTAATTTAAAGGAAAATTAGAATGCCTTGCACCTTTTCTATAGTTATTAGATTAAATATTCGTCCTTTTTAAAGATTTGATTAAGGTGTTTTGATCAATTGCCACCTCAATAATTTTCTATTTATTTAATTTCCATGTCATTAATTTAAATGCATATAGAGGCATAAGGTAGTTTAGCAACTAATTGTCACATCCCGGCCCGGGTGGGACCACTTCCCGGACCCGCTCCACCACCGTAGCACGATATTGTCCTCTTTGGGCTTACCATTCCCTCACGGTTTTATTTCTGGGAACTCACACGAGAACTTCCCGATGGGTCACCCATCCTGGGAGTGCTCTCGCACGCTACTCGCTTAACTTTGGAGTTCCTACGGAACCCAAAACAGTGAGCTCCCAAAAGGCCCCGTGCTAGGTAGGATGGGAATATACATTTAAGGATCAGTCCCCTGGGCGATGTGGGATGTCACAATCCACCCCCCTTAGGGCCCCGACGTCCTCGTCGGCACATTTCCGGCCAGGGATAGGCTCTGATACCAATGTCACATCCCGGCCTGGGTGGGACGACTTCCCGGGCCCGCTCCACCACCGTAGCACGATATTATCCGCTTTGGGCTTACCATTCCCTCACGGTTTTGTTTCTGGGAACTCACACGAGAACTTCCCGATGGGTCACCCATCCTGGGAGTGCTCTCGCGCGCTACTCGCTTAACTTTGGAGTTCCTACGGAACTCGAAGCCAGTGAGCTCCCAAAAGGCCTCATGCTAGGTAGGATGAGAATATACATTTAAGGATCAGTCCCCTGGGCGATGTGGGATGTCACATAATTGCCTATAATATAGGAATTTCATTTCGTCAATTCCCTTCTACGCATTAAATGACATTTATTTAATAAAATAAAATAAAATATTAATTAACAAGTTCCTCATTTCCTTATTATCAGTATTTTATAAAAAAATTATCTTTCTATTAAAAATGTCTCAATAAAAAGTCTTCAATACATATTTTTTTCACGCATAGATATATAAAAAATATACTTAAAACTTATGGTAAATTTGAGAACAAAAGTATTGACTTTGGGTATGTTTAGATTTCAAATGTACCGAGAAACCAAATGTATCAAAAATTCAAATGTACCATAAAACCAAATGTACCCATTATTATGTAACTCTTTTGATACGTTTATATTTCAAATATACAGAGAAACCAAATGTACCAAAATTTCAAATGTACCATAAATCCAAATGTGCCCATTGTCAGGTAACCCTTTTGGTATATTTAGATTCTAAATGTACCAAAAGACCAAATGAACAAATGTATCACAAAACCAAATGTCTCTATCAAATAACCCTTTTGGTACATTTACATTCCAAATGTACTGAGAAATACGAAAAATCAAATCCACTATAGAACTAAATGTGTCCATATTATAGGTGACTAGACGTAGCTATATAATCAAATAAATCTTTATTATGTGTAGGATCTTCTAAATAATAAAATCTGACAATTTTTTTTATAAATATTCTACTATATTCACACAAAAAAAGTAAAAATTATAATAAACAATAAAAAAATGCATAGAGATGGATAATAAATGCATAAATATAGGGATAATAGGAAAAGAAAAAAAAAAGAAAACAAAATGCCCATAAGAAGTTGTGAAAAACTAAAATTCTAAACAAAATTGAATTTATGTGAAAAACTGAAATTAATAACCAAAACTTTAGGAAAATGTTTGATCAAATTTTCAAAAGGAGTGTCTGTTTAGTCTAAAAAATTAAAAACCGAGGCGCATATATCAAAGCGCCACTTGATTTAAACACTACAATCATGGACAAAAAATTTCTCTCCCCAGCCAGGTGAGAGTTGTTCTCTCTGAGTGAGAGTTTTCTCATTGTGTGTGAGTGTTCCCTTTCTTAGTCTCTAGTTCAGCCGCCAGCCTTAGTTTCAGCCACGGTCGATGGCAGTCTCTTTCGTTTTTCTTTTTCTGTTTCTTCCCCTCTGTTTTCAGATGGAACCACTCCTTGCCTATCACTTGCCATGATAGGAAAACTTTGAATCGTTGTCTCCTTTTTCTTCTCTCCACCTTATTTCCCCCTCCATGCATCCATTTTTTTCACATTCTTTCCTTCCCACATGTGATCACTCTCTATCGATTTCACTTTAGATCCGATCTGCTCCCACTTTGTTTCACCGTATTCAATGGCTTTATCGGAAGATGCGTAGAGCCTCAGCTCTGATGTTCACACCACCACCTTCCACTTGCGTGTCAGTCTCAGCACTGTTGTCGATGGTTCCACTAACTTCCTCCCCGGTTTTATACCATTGTTAGCGGCATATAGGTTATGTGTGGAGTTCGATGGAGGACATCGACGTTTGCTTCTCTTTTTGTTGTTGGAGCTTGGTTGGTCTTCACCTTTGGTGTTTGTTGGGTTGGTGGTTCATGGTCGCCGGAGCTTACTTTGACTACGGCAATGGAACTAAGCGGCTAGGGTTTTCATTTTTTTTCTATGTCTTTCTTTTTCGGGTCCAACCCTTGGGTTGGGTTGTTGTGTTGGCCCATTTTTTGTTTGTGTTTAGTTGTGAGCTTTTGTTTTGTATGTAAATTTCTGGTAATGAAAGTCTACCTTAAAAAAAAAAAAAAAAAAAAACTACAATCAAGTATGAATTTGGTAATAGAATCACATGAGAGTTAATTTTTGAGCAAATTGAGATTAAGTACTAACTGAGACAGTAGTTAGGAAACAGATTTTAAGATTAAATTAAATTTAATCTTAACAGGACCTTTAAAAAATATTCCAAACTTGTTTTCATACAACTAATGTTTAAAATATCGATATTGCAAATTTGTAGAAATACTAAGGGATATGTCAAATACAATATCAATGGAAATGGAAATGATGGACATTTAAAATGAAACTTTAGGAATGGTCAAACATTGGTTTGGACGAAATATAAGAGTTTTTCTGAAATTTAACAAATGTGTCAGAAATATCGACAATAGTTTGGCTTAAACTTAAGACTTCACCCTATTTCCATATCTTTCTCTAACTTTTTGCATATTTCCTTAGAAACATCGACTGTATTGAAGAAATTTTAAACACTACATAGAACCAACCAAACATGCATCGCTCATATTTATGTACTTGGCCTGGAGCAATTAACTTCTTGTGCCCTCTTCACATTTTCTTCATAGCGTTTCACTTCAATTTCAAAATAGTGATTCCGCCATCAACATCCGTTGATCGTGATGGAGAATTTGGATTACCCTATTTCCCAAAGGATAATACTTGGGTACTCACTAGAGAGTACCCAAATTGCTAACTACTAAATTCATGGAAAGAGATCCTTTCCGAATCTCTTCCATCAAATTCATCCAATCCCCAAATCCGGATCCTTGAAATTTGATTTAACGGCTACAAAAAGGAGTCATCTTTAAAAGTTATAATAACTTTAACCATTAAATCAAATTTCAAGAGTCTGAATTTGAGGATTAGGTGGAAGGGATCCTGAGAGGATCCCTTCCCTAAATTCAAAAAATTTGTCAAATGAAACGCTCCCCAAATTTCTACTATTCTTGTAACCAAACACACTATTTACTCTCTTTACTTGTAACCAAACACACTATTTACTCTCTTTACTTGTATCCAAACATCCATTTTCTCTCACCTCCCTCTGCATTCTCCGAAGCCATGACAGCTCCATGCCCTCAAATTTCGCCAAACACATGACAGATCAGATCCATCTTGCTAACCCTACGAAGGATATTTCATCCAAACGTCTACTATCCTTGTCCCTTTAAAAGTTATAATAACTTTAATAGTTAGATCACATTTCAAGAGTCTGGATTTGGAGATTGGGTGGAAGGGATTCGGAAAGGATTCCTTTCCTAAATTCTAAAAAGGAAGTTTTAACGAAAAGCCCACGGTACTTTTCACTTTAACAAAAAAACCACATTTTTAAACTAAAAAGTCAATCCTGATACTATTCACTTTACCTTTTATTTTGTTCTTATCATTAAAACTTAAAGTTTTCAAAATCTTTTAATTAGTTTTCTTTTTAAAAATTTGTCAGATGAAACGCTCCCCAAACGTCTACTATTCTTGTAACCAAACACACTATTTCCTCTCTTTACTTGTGTCCAAACATCCAGTTTCCCTCACCTACCTCCACCATCACCTCCCTCTCCATTCTCCGAAGCCATGACAGCTCCACGCCCTCAAATTTCACCAAACCCATGACAGATCAGATCCATCTTGCTAACCCTACGAAGGATATTTCACCCAGAAGAAAAATAATGAAGGAGGTTGAAATTATTCGGTAAAATTTCGAGAAAGTTGGTGTTCGGTAATGCCATAGATTCCACGATGGAGATTCCGATGACGATGACAGGGTGATGGTATGTGTTCCACGATAAAGAATAGGAGGATTATGGGGCGGCATCGACAGGGAAAGGATGGAGGAGAAGTGAGTTGCGCCGACGGAGGAGACGAGGTTCTCAGAAGGCGTTGGGAAGACGAGGTTTCTGGTGAAGAAACCATGGCAGGAGCAAAGCAATGCAAAACACAAAATAATTCAAAGAATTGCAGAATTGAATGTCATGAAAATGTGAAATTTATTGCATACTGTTCAAGAAGACAATGAACACAAAGAACCAAAATCCTAACAAATATTAAACAAACTTGAAACAAAATCCCCTAGGCACCTAAGAACAATAGCTATATGCAATCAGTAGTTGGCATACCAGTACCACATTCACAAGCAGCAAGCAGGGCACCTAATCAACCCGTTTTCGTTGCAATCCTGGCATCTCCTCAGTTCCCCTTCATCCTCATCAAACAGCTTTCGGCTGCCATTACATGTAGGGCACGGTGCAAACCTTGCGTCCCCACATCCTTCGCAAACAAACCCGCCATCCCTCACCGGAAACCCCCTCAAAAGCTTCCCCAATTCTCCGGCCTCGTTGAGTTGCTTAACCTCCTCTGCGCCTCCAACATACTTGCCTCTAACAAACACTTGTGGCAGACTCACCACCTTGTCCCCAACCGCGTTTTGCAACTCTTTCCTGTACTCCGAGTCCATTGAAACGTCCCTCTCGTCTACTGCCACTCTAAATCCCCTAAATATCATCCGAACGGCGCAACAATCCTCGTAAGTCTTTCGAATTCCTCTCAATGTGGTGAAGTAGATAACGATTTTATCCTCAGCGCCCGGAAGACAAAAACAAGCATTTGAAAATGGGGAATGTAGCAAAGGTGTACTAGTACAAGTGAATGATCTTACAACATTGCATCGGTTGTTGCTGCTGTCGCCCGACTGTCTAGAGGACAATGCTCTTCTGTAAGTCAAGACCACATTGGGGTCCATTTTCGACAACAACGATTCCTCGGATAAATGCTGCCACAGAGGCTTTGAATTCGACGAAGAAGATGAAGGGGCTGGCAATGCGTCCTCAACCTTTACTTCCGAGTATTTCGCCGATTCGAGAGAATCAAACGGTCTTCTTGAGTACCTGCAAGAACTGGCCTTCTCGGGAAAAGCAATGGGGCGGTCATAAATGGGGTGTTTTGCAGAGAAATGGGAGTGGAAATCGGAGTCGTTGAGACCATCCATGAGTTCCCAGGTGTTGATGACGGAGTCGGGGGAGGAGGTGGAGTGTTGTTGGGGGTGGGGGTGATGTTCAGGAGAATCGTGACCGTTGAGATTGAGGAGGGGGTTTAAGGGAGATGGAGGGTCGAGACGGAGGGAGCCGTAGGTGGTGGAGGTGAGGGAGACGAGGTGGTGAGTGTCGCCTTTTCGGAGAGGAGGGTGGTGGACGAGAGGGGCGGAGGAGATTGAGAGAGCTCTTCTGGAGGTGGAGAGAAGTGGGGAGGAATTGGATGAGTCTTGGAAGGAAGTAGGAGCAATTTGTGAATTCTGTTCTGGGTTTTTGGTTAGAAGGGTGAGGGGTCTTGAAGCAGAGCACCCCATCTCTCTCTCTCTCTCTCTCTCTCTCTCGCACAGACACACAGAGAGAGAAAGATAGAGACTTTTTGGTTTGGTTTGTGTCTCGTTTGTTTTCTGAAGGGAATAAGATTGTTGCTTCTAGTTCTAGAGAGAGAAAGAGAGGAGGATTGTGGAGGTGGGTTTGGGAGCTTTTAGTGAGAGAGAGAGAGAGAGAGAGAGAGGAGGAGGAAAGAGAGAGAAGGAGTAATGTTTTGGTGAGGAAGAGATTTCAAGAAGGAGAAGAAGGGGTTTGGGTAATTGAGAAATTGGGTGGGAGAGGGGAAGTTGAATAAATGAATGAAGCCACAAAACGCGGTTCGTTTCTAATTAGGTTTTTTTTTTTTCATGAATTTATTGATAAATAAATATTAATTTTGTAATTAAACAAATTTGTAAAGGCGCCCTAGTTGTACTAAATTTGGAATCATTGGAGGCAAAACCTTGGATTAAGGAAATCATTAATTTTGGAAAGTTTCAAGAATCATTTGCAGTAAAGGAACCGGTATGATATGTCGCAGTCTGCATTCATGTGTGCGGATTGACATTTGGATCAATTTCTGCGCTCATAAGGGTAAATAAGGAAAGGTGTTTCAATGCGCACCAAACTTCAATACATACGTCATTGTCATTGTATGAGTAGAATGACAGTTGAAAAAAATTTCTTCTACTTGTACAATAACATGCATATCGTCTTGTATTTTGGTTACATTGAAAAGTCTCTTATAAATAAGATAAACATGTCAATCCGAATATTTATGGTTAATTGCAGTTTCCCTATATATTTTGCATAGATATAATTGAAGATTTTCTTTAGGTTAGCGGAGGAAAGTGATTCGAAGTTAAGTGTAGAGATGAAAGCATATTTGGTCTAGGTAATAATACTAGTGTAATGTGGTTATCTTCATGTCTGCTTGTTAAATAATGCTTCAAACGAGTAATTTTTGTAAGTTTTGACATCCATTGCTAATAACAAACTAAAACACTTATCACAAACAAACCAAGTTCTGATACAATTTGACCCATATAAAAAACATTATGGTCTTGTTTGTTTTGAATTTGAGCCAAACACGTAACTAATACATTGACAATAACCTCTGGATATGCGTCGTGCATGAACCAAACATATTATACTGTTAGGTAAGGCTTCAATTTCACAATGCAGGACATGTCCTAGTTTGATGCTTCAAATGTTATAGAAGTGAAGAGTATTACATGTGCAATGCAGGTTAGAAAACTTGCATTGAAAGCACATTTACTTTCACATTTTTTATTAAATTTGGTTCTTTTTTTTGTGTATCTTGTTGCAGGACCAACTTAGCAACTATCTTTATATAACAAATTATCACCCAAATTGAATGGTGTGAACACAACTACCTCCACCAATTGTGATAAAAAAAAAAAAATTAAATAAAAAAAAAATAAAAACCTACCTCCACCAATTATTTAATGCGAAAACATAAATAATTGTAGATACAACAAACAAAAGTGACAAAAAGTAGAAACTTGGCGATGGACGGAGTTGACTTAGGCCCAGCAGGGGCCGATGCCCCCCGCGTCAATTATTTTTTGTTGAAAAAATATTTTTTTTATTGCGTGTGACATTAATATTAATTCTTTTATGCATTATTGTTATTGTTGAAAGAGCATATTCAGTCATAAAATTTCTAAAGATCGATTGAGAAATTGGATGAGAGATAAATGGATGAATGATAATATGATTATTTTTTAGATAGAGATTTGATGGTATTAGTAATGAAGTTGTCATGCAATGTTTCAAAACATAAAACGCGTCGAGAGATATTGTAATAAGTTGTATAAAAAAACTTATGGATTAATATATATATATATATATAAGTGTTTTGTTGAGTACATTCTTGAACTTTTTAATTTGCGATTTTGTTATTTGAGGGTGCCTCCATCTATGCAGATCTCTAGCTTTGTCCTTGGACGCATCAACCATTTAACGCTAAGATATATGATATTTTCTATTTGGTTGGTTGCATATCTAATCGTTAAATGGTAAATATATCAAGTAAACTAATGGAATATTTGTCTGTCCAAACTTTGAAAGAGTGTAGTACATGCTTATCAATCTGCTACTTGCATTAGGACTTCTCAAGTATCCTTTCTTGTAATAGACAATTGTTCTAATTATTAGCATTTTCTTGAAATTAATTGATCTCTTTCATTCAATCCCGTTCTCCTCGACCCTACGGTCCAAGGAGATTGTGGCCAATTATTGTTCGATCTTAGACTTCTTAGTACAAACAGTGGAGATGATGGAGTTTAGGAGAACGGGACTATTCTTTCTCCATATACAAGCGGTATAGAGGAGAGAAAATGCATACTCTGTTCACATGAATGAATGTGAAATAAAGGTCCATAAACTAAAAATCCATAAAAATTCATGGGTATTTGTCCTTGCACTTATCACAATCCGGAACAATGATCATTTTCTATGTTAAAATTTACATCCAAAATAAAAGGTTTAAAGGAGCAAATTAGGGACGGAAGTTTTAATAGAGTTATCCAAACTGATCATCGTCTTGTGACAAGTTAGGGGATCAATACTCACAAATTTCTATTATCCTAAACGTGCAAGTGTAATCACATAAACCAAGTCGAAGACTGTTGTCAAAGGCCTTCAAGTTTCCAAGATCCTAGAAGAAAACAAAATGTATTGTTTGCCCCATATACCTACTGGAGATCTTTTAACCGTTGGTTCTCAATAAAAGATATAATGACTGAGATTTAACGGTTAAAAATTCCGGAGCCTAGGTTACTTTGGACCAGAACTTTTGAGATTGAGATGCTAAAATTGAGCATGGGTTTAGTTTGGGTTTGGGTTTGGGTTTGGGAATATCTGTTATCTGAGTTCTAGAAAGAGACTGAAAGAATAATAATGAATCCAAGAAAATGACATGGTTTTCCAGCAGATTGAAATGGACTTATGATAAATGGGAAGGACCACCATTCACAAAATTATTCAAAAAATTAGGGCTAATTCCACGGAGGTCCATTCATCCCATGTGGGTTGAGCTGCCAAGTCATTATCTTTGCTAACTTTATCGCTCTATCTTCTGCCTTATCCAATCTCTCAGTCTCAGAGAAGCAACAACAAAGCTATATCCTACTAAGTGAGATCAGCTGTATGAATCCTAACGCCACTTCGCTCGGTTTTGTGTCAAGTTAGATACAAGTACTCCAAGTCTTAAAGAAGAAAGGAGCAAATAAAATTCACAAATTTGTTTGATTTGCATAAACTTTCCTACCAATGAGATTATTTGTGTAAACAGTGGCAAGCCTGTAATTATATTTTATCTCAAGCCTTTCTTGGACATTGAGACCGAAAGAAACATTTGGGGCAAATCACGTGCAGCATAGTTTGTCAATTGATACATACTTCTTACATGAATTAATATGACAAACTATTAGTTAAGGAATCAACTGTTATATTATGTAATCCACTAATTGTTGGTATAAAAGGTTGGCTCGATATAAGTCAAGATGGATGTGAAGATAGTCCCCCATCGGAGAAGTCCCAACAATAATCTAAGGTTTAAATATAAGTGTTCCACTTCTAATTGCACCAAGGCTTTTTGAGATAAACCCCACACGTGAGGTTCATTGCGCTTGATACCACCCAGGGGATGGAGCCTAGGTGAATAAATGGGGACAATATCGGTGCATGGCAGCCTCAATAGTGGACACTTATGGAGCTCATGACACAACACTAATGTGGTAAAATATATATGCTCCTCCACTAATTTTTAAAAAGAAGAGTCACAAGAGCAGGTTTGATTTGATGTACTTCCTAATGAAGAGATTAGTTGTGAAATTTTGATTAGAAAGATATGTTGGCATTCATTTGGAAGAAAAATATGCTACCCAAGTTAGTACCCAGAAGAGCTCTAACTTTTTAACCCTAGCATTTGTTTTGGTCTAGAGATTTGGATTTATGCAGTTAACTCAGTGGTGTATACAAAAAGAAACATCAAAACTGTAAGTTTTATGCAAAAACACTCGGCACAATTGGCAAAAAAACCCTCATTTATCCACCTGTCATCCTCCAATTGATTCTTAATCATGAAATTCTTACTACTGCTTAACTCTTGCAAGTTCCCAAAGTGGATAGATTCATCTAAGATACACAGATCATCTAGGCAGGGCATATTAGATGCTGGGAAGAAAGACAAAGACTCGACTTTAATAAAGCAGCTGTTGAGTGCCACAATTTAAGGCTGGGAGAAAAAACGAAGAAAAACGTTGCGTAGCCATCAAATTAGCATAAAACTATGGTTTGAGCTTAGGAAATTTGGTAACAATGTTGCCGAGCACGAGACTTGGTTTTAAAGCCTAGCACCCAACAATCTTATTGATTTCCAAACACAAACCAGAAATATACAACTTTCCAGTACAAAGCACAAACCCCAGTATGACTTTGGTATTTAATATGAAACAAAAAAAAAGAAGAGAAAAATACAAAATCCCTAACTATGATTTTGTATTTAATATGAAACAGATCACAATTCCATCGTAAAAAAGAAATATACTCACAGTATTTACAGTATTCACAGTATAAAATTAGCAGCTCTGAATGTCCAGGCCATGCACCCACCGTCCCTTCACCGTTATTTACGGATTTTAATCATCTGCAAGTGTACAGGAAAAAGGAGTCGCTGTTATACAGAGTTGAAAGACCAAATGACTGAAACCCGTTAATGAAGTAATCAAGCTATGTGTATCAGTAAAACACGATACAGGGTGAATCGGGTAAAAACAAGAAATTCGGATTGCATCAACTTTAATTTTTGGAGCTGAAAACCTGACCTAAATAAAGTTATATAGGGTACCAAACTTGCTAAATAGCTGATGCACCACTTAGACAAGACACATTTTCTCCTACAAATATGCTTAGAATATTTTGATTCTATTTTTTACTTATATTCTTAGCACAAATCTCAATCGAGATTCCTCTCTGGAGCATCATGTTTGTTTGTTGAGTTGGAGTGCAAAAACAAGGTGATGGATTGGGTTGGTTGAAATCCCGGGCTTGTGAATAAAATGGGCACGGGGACTTTGAGGAATTTATCAATTTTTGAGAATTTCATACCATAGTTGTACAAATTTTGGTGTTTGGGGAGATATAAGGTTAGCAAAACCACCCATCAGAGCCATCGTTAACCATTGGTCGTTAAGGCGTATTCTCAAGATATCGATATCTGAAGTTGTGGAAATAATATGAGAGGACAGGGAAGGACGCAGAGTGGAGGCATTGATTTCATAGTTAAAAAGATAAAAATTTAAACAATTTATAGAAACATTGCAATGGTTTAATTTCTTAAGTTCAGTTGTTAGAGAATTAGAAAACCAATGACAAATCTCTCATCTCATCAGAAAACAATAATCATTTTAATGGTGATATCAAAGTATGTAGAGCAGGAACGCCTTAGAGACAGACAACTAGCAGGAAGAGAAAAAATTTGTTCCAAAATATAAGGCTTGCCCAGCACAAGACTCAAGTAAACGTTATGATTAAAGAACTCAAGTGCAACCATCACATGCACAAAATAAATGAGCTTGCTGGATCTGTCCTAAATGCTTTGCCCTTATTAATTATTCCCAAAATCTTGATCGACCTGGCTTATGCTCGGAAAGAATATCAAGGTTATCTTCTTTGTTCTGATGATCCACTAGCAATCGAACTTTTGAAAAAGTTATTTAAAGAAGTAGCAATGAAACAGTTACTGCAGTCATCCTTTGATGTTGTAAAAAAATGGTAACGTTCCAAAAGAAAAAGGCAAACCATCAACATAAAGGTCGATAAGATTCAAATGAGGTTGCTAATGTGCACAAATGATGGCTACCTAATTGTGTAACTCATCACTACCCGCATTGTGACAAGCCATATAGAAGAAACAATGGCCAGTTACAATCTCAATTTCTACGGCAGCTAGGTACTTGGGATTTCTTTTGTATATGGGTACAGGGGCACTAGACTTACAAACAGCCTGCTTTCCAAAGAGATCATGTCTGCAGGATATGTGACAGAATTTATAAATTCCACATATCTCAAAAAGTAAGATGATATTGCAATCAGATATTAGTTATTTCCTGACATTGATACAACACCCTTAGTAACGTATTAAAGACAGCAAGAAACTCACCATAAATCAATATTAACATATTCTGTGAATTGAGTTTGATTTCGAAGTTGGGCCTCACCAGCACCCTTGTGGGCTACTCTTTATAAACAAGTCTTCGCTTTAGGTAAGACAATCTAAACACTCACGGGTATTTGATTCTTTCCTGACTTACAAATATTTCTTCTCTAACCAAAATTCTACAGTTTGTATCCAATTCAATTCACACAAAAATTAATGTTAAGCAAGCATAACCACCTAATAGAACCTCAAATTACGTCCCGGAAAAAGGTGATTAAGGTACTTTTCTTGTTGACCATTCACAGCAACCCTAAAGCCATGAGTTTGTCATTCTTGGAAGCCCTAAACAACACATCTTATGATCGGGCCCTAAGCCGATCATAAAGTGGATTGGCTGGTCTAAAAGTATAAGCATGAGTCCTTGTCTAGGGCGTGGTTTCTCCAATTTGTGACGTAACTCTTAATACTAGTCATTAAGGGCTTGTTTGGTGGGCTGGATGGGATTAAGCCTTAAGAATAGGGTTGGATTGGTAGGGACATGTAACACAGGACCTGTAATCCATGTATAAAGATATGTTAGATAACCTACTTTATTGTGGACTCATAAATCATCATGTCCATCTCACATTTAGACACAACAAACAACATATTGGACTCAGGTTTATTTTAATTGATCACAACCCAACCAGCCCATCAAACATTCGCTAAATGGATTACAGTCCGGAACTATCCAAAATACAAGTGGTGGAACTATCCAACAAACAACATGTGGTGAATTGCTCAGGTGAATACGGTCTTCCTCTTCAACCCACTACCATTCAAACCCTTCCCCTTAGCTTACAGTAGTAATGTTGCTTGTAATAACAAAAACTGATTGCCCAGCAAACCCATCAAGCAAAACAACCAGACAAAGCTTGACAAACATGAAATCAAGCAATCAACTGAATTTACAGAGACAAAAAGATGGAGGAGGAGGAGGAGGAGGAGAACAAACCAGAGAGCATAAGAGTGGTGAGTCCGGTGACAATCAATCAGCCAACATGCAAAGGGCCAAAATCTCCGGTTCTAAGGGAGCCGGCGACTTCATCGGCAACGGCTAAGCAAGACGAAATCAAGCAGGTGAGGGCCAACCACACCACCTTTGCCATCCAAACAGTGACGCCGCATGGCATTACCATTTTTCTGGGGAGGCTTCCTTTCCCCCTACAATTGTTTTGCACCTTGATCAAATCCCAGCCCCCCTTTTGGGGTAAACTAAAGTAAAAGATATTCGGAACGGAAGAGTTCATAACAAGGATTTACTTTTTCCTTTCCCTTCTTGGTTTTTTGTTTTTTTTGTTTTTTGAGAAAAGCCAAAGAGTCATTCAAAAGTAAGACTGTGTATATATTATCAGCCAAATATTATCCAAAAAAACATCAGCCGATGGAGAGTTTATTGAGAATCACTTTCAGAGTCTCTTTCGCTTTTTTTTTTTTTTTTTTTTTTATGAATAAAAATTATTAACACTCAAAGTTTTAGCTTCAACCTTTAAAAAATCCGGTCCATCCAAATCGTGCCCAACCTATTACTGAAAATGCTCTAATCTCAAAGAAAATTTGAATCTAGCACGCAATGGATTTAATAATAAGATATTAAACATTAAAACAATTCACCACTTGCTGTTGTGATTAAACCAACCAAACTATGACAATGTATGTTTTGCATTAGAGAAGGCCTTAGGCCCTTATTAATAATAAAAACGGTTGTTTACTTCAGGAGCTGTTAACTATTACTCGGATCATATTTTGATCCCTATTTTGATTTATTCTAAACAACAAGGAAGGATATTTAAATTTGGATATAGAACGAAAAGCACGCTGCCATAAAATATACTTGGGTTAAGTTCAAATATGTGTCAAAGTTGTGACTTCTAAAACTGAACAATAAAGGGAAAATAACTCAATGCAAGAGGAATTTGCTAAATCAAATTATTCATTGTAGGCTTGATCGTAGCCACATTGGTTCAAGTAGATTTGTTCACCCATGCAACAAGGTTTGAATCTCCAAAGTCGTAATTTAGATAAATTTAAAGTAGAGCATCACTTTGTATAAAAAATAATTTAGTTATCATTAGGCCAAAATCCTTCACATCTCAGATTTGCAATGCTTATGCCTTCTTCAACTTCAAAATTAGGAACAACTTTCTGAATTGATCAAATTGTGATTCCTCACAACTTTGATTTTTTGTTTTTGAGTCAAATACAAGCACCTTTGAATTTTGGTCAACAATGCATTCAGTTCATCGATCACTATTGATATGTAGTCATATCATTTGTTAAACAACACAACCTCAATTTAAAAGATGATCATGTGCTTCACAAATGATCATGTACTTCTCAATTGCGCAATTTAGACAAATTGGCTAAGAAAATCGACACTTTATATTAAATCAAATTCAAATACCAAATACCACGAATTTTTAATTCAGTTACCAAAACTTCAAATCAAATTTCTCTAATTTAATCTTTTAGAAAAAGTTAGGGCCAAATAGTTACATTTCATAAATCCCAAGGGGAAAATTGTAATTTAGCCTAAAATTTAATCTCAATCGTACACTCCTCCCTGCCTCACCTATAAACAAAGTTGCATCCCTCTAGGGTTTTACTTCTCAGCGCGCAGCCTCAACACAGTTCAGTCGCTCGCCGCCGTCTCTTCTTCTTCCTCCAGCCGCCGCCTCCCTCCGCAATCGCAACCATGGTAATTCTCCCTCCAGCTAATTTTCTGTTTGTTTCACGAGAAACCGAAAAGAAAGAGAACGTTGAATTTGTTGTATCTGCAGATCATTTCTGAGAAGAATCGTCGGGAGATCTCCAAGTACCTGTTCCAAGAGGGAGTTTGCTACGCGAAGAAGGACTATAACTTGGCGAAGCATCCCGACATCGACGTTCCAAATCTGCAGGTGATTAAGCTGATGCAGAGCTTCAAGTCCAAGGAGTATGTGAGGGAGACGTTTGCTTGGATGCACTACTACTGGTACCTTACCAATGACGGTATCGAGTTCTTGAGGACTTATCTCAATCTCCCTTCTGAGATTGTCCCTGCTACTCTCAAGAAGCAGGCCAAGCCTCCCGGGCGCCCCATGGGCCCCTCCGGTGACCGCCCCCGGTAATTCGCTTATTGATTTATGTTGATGGAATTGTTTTTGGTAGAATTGCGAAATGTCGAAATGCTTATTCGATTTGTTGTTATATATTATATTAGGAAGTTGTTATTTTGATTGATTAGTTTGATACATTGCTCATTTTTGGTTTAGAGATTCTGCAATAAACTGCAATTGATTGAAATGTGAGTGGGGTTTAATAGATGATTGAAGCATATTTTTCGGTTGGGTTTTAACGAAATCACGCCACGTTTGAATCAAAACACAGCACATTTGAATCTAATATTGGTTATTGGTTATGTAGGAAGAAGTTAATTTTAACAGAATTGCAACGCATTTGAATCTTTGTTAGTTATTCGACCAATTAACTGTTACAGATTTGTGCTTCCTTTCCTTTTCGGGTCCATTTGTTGAATGTTTTGTTGGGTTGGAATTTAATGTTTGGTTTGATGATGGTGTGAACAGTGGCCCGTCTCGCTTTGATGGAGAACGTAGATTCGGTGGTGACAGGGATGGGTACCGTGGAGGACCTCGTGCACCTGGGGGTGACTTTGGAGACAAGGGTGGAGCTCCTGCTGATTATAGACCTTCTTTTGGGGTAATTTCCTTGCTCCGAATTAATTTGTTTTCTATTTTACCGTTGACTTGCGGTGTTGCATGACTAGACAGTTTAGTCACTTTGGGAATAATATGCATCCGTGTTTTTTTCTGTGTAGTGTTAAAGCGCATCATATGAAAACCGCATAACTCATCTTTCTCGTTGTGTCTGTGTTTTCAGGGTCCCGGTGGAAGGCCTGGCTTTGGTCGCGGAGCTGGAGGTTTTGGTGCAGGCCCAGCTAGCTCTAATCAATCTTAAATGAATGGATGTTGAGAACATGACATGCTGTATTAGGAGACAATGGCGGTTTTGTTTAATTGTTCAAATGTCGGCAACATTGTCGGATTTTCTTCGATGTTTATTTTCTTTTACTTTGTGTGTGAATGGCACCTTGAAAACATATTTGCTTTCGATCATCTATCGACAAAGTGCCACAATCTCGGCTATGGTGTGGCTAGAAAGGTAAGAACCAAGAACTCAAAACTGTTTTGATGCTTCTTTGGCCAAATACGACATACAAGTGGGAATTGCACTATGATTGCACTATGAGCAACCCGAGGGAAATGGGTTCTGCCCAGAAGTCATGGATAAGTTTTTGCCATTGGTTATTGGTCGAGCCACTAGAATGGAACGAGATAAAAATCTTTCGAGATCTTTCATCCCACTTGTAACAGTTTTTGCCGTCGTTGGCCCTTATTTCACTAATGATACGGCGATTTAGTAGCCACGCGAGGGACTATACTCTCTTTATCGCTCGCGCTAGCTTTTCACTCTCGAGGAAACAGTCTCTAAAGCAAACCAAAGCACAACGACGATAAGTTTGCCGTTTGAAGCGCTGGTAGCACAGGGCATCTGCGCCCAGCCTAGTCAGAAGGCCGATGCCCTGCATCTTGTCCAGGCCCAAGTAGGAAGGTCTTTATCATATTATGACCACTATATAAACAAATGTCAAGATTAATGTATAAATTCTACTACATCCCTCTCAAAAATTCAACATAAAATAGACCGATCTCATGCAACTTTGGAAACACAAACTTTGAAGAACCCTGAAAGCATTGAGATTCCCCTAAAACAAGAAGAAAGCTTCACAAAATGTTCCACTTTCCCGCCAACGCCTGGCAAATCATCGTGATACAATATGCCGCACTCAAGGGATAACCAGATACTGCAAGAGTTGACAAATAAGATGCGTTTAATTTCACCACAGTATGTAGCAAGCAACATACAATTAACAAAATAAAAAGGAGAAGTTTTAAGGTCAAAAGCAAAGCATGAAATGCAACTGGACTCCAAGGCTAGAAAATGAAGGGAAAAAGAACGCATAAATGTAAGGATGGTCAACACTCTGGTCATCAATTTTTCATTCAAGAGCATGAAAGGTACTGGAACACTAAAAAATAAAGACGAAATACGAAAAAGTTTGAAGGAAGAGTTATCTACCGAAGGATCCTAGATTCCCAAGGATTCCACTCTAGCATTGATAATGAGAAGATATATCGTAATTGCATTGCAGGACCTTTTGTGTACCAAAGCAATTACTTCACACAGAGTTCACATTTTCAACTAACAAAAACATTGATTGCGTGCCAGTAAATGTACAGTCATGTGCTTGGATTTAAAACTCAGCTTGATCATAACGTTTAGTAGGAAGCTTGAATCCAGCCCAGCCTGATCATCATGCTTAGTACAATGCTCGAATTCAAGCTTCAACAGCTACTAAATGTACAGTCATGCGCTTGAGTTCAAGTAATGTCTAAAATTTTAGATAAATAGTTAAGTTTCTTGAATAAAATGTTAGTATGGATGAATATTTTTATTTGGAAATAGGATGAAAGAGGATAAATAAATGAATTTCAAATATGTCATCATACTTGGTTATTTCAATACATTGTATCTACGGTATTTTTATGCTTTTCCATATAATGTAGCCTTGCCAAAATCTAATCATCTTTCTAAATCCTTCCATCAAATCCTAACCGTGGTTCTTTAAACTTTGTAGTCAAACTGAACAAAAGGTTCCATCCACTGATACATGGGAAGGGAAATAGACCTAAAAAAATTAAACATTATACTGATGAAAAGCAAGGACATACTTGAAATGAAATCCTCAGTATAGTCTGTCTCAACTTTCCCATGAGCCATCGCACCAACCTGAAAATACAGTATTACAATAGCTCCAAGCGAAAACAGATAATATTCAAATATAAGGCCAATGCATTAGCTCCGAGCATACCACAAAAACAAAGTCCGTACTGTTTTCATCACTAGCAACATACTTCTGTATGTTAACCAATTTTTCTGAACTGTATGAGAAGCCTGGAATGCAAGAATACATATTCAGTTTTCAAGATAGATATGAAATAATGGTTGGCGAGATCAAGGCTGATATGCAGCATAAGGGTTGTCTTTTTAGTCTACTCACCTATTTTACGAGAGTTGACAGGTAAATACTGTGTCACAGGGTTCTTTATCACACGCATAAGTTTCTCACGCTTACCAACAGCAGATATACTCAGTTTTTGTAGCAGCTGCACTGCAAGATGGTTGGCAGGATTAAAATGACAAAATAGCCTTCAGAAAAAGTAAAGAACAGTGTTGCTTTGCATAAGAATTGGATGACAGATGAACTTACACATGACACCAGCAAACCGCTTAAATGTTCTCGGAATACGAACATATGGCTTAACTTCAATTAGAACACCTGCTGCAGTTCTCACATACACGTTCCGCAACCTCCCAGCTTTATTAATCGGGCTATCTAAAACCATAAGGAGAGCCTGCAGACTTCAATAGTTACGATCACATAACACTTCTGTAACTTAAATCAATTATTTTAATTTTTTTTTCCGAAACTGATAGTTTCTTTCTTCTTTTTCTTTTTTTATAATTAAAATCCATCGATTAAAGGAATCAAAGACAGCAAACCGAGGACACGAAGTCCTGTACACTAAAGAACTCCTGAAAGAAAGCTAGAAAAAGAAGAACACAGAAAAATATAGATCTAGATTAACAGAACAAAGCACTAGGAAGCAGCAGCTTTGAAACACACTCCAAAAATCTGACAATTCTGAAACCAAAAACTCAACCCTTTCCAACAAGTATTCCTTCTCCTCCTCCCTCGAACCATCAAACACCCTTCTTCACTTGAGACACCACATCCCACGACGGTCTTGCTGCCACAACTTCTTACAAAAGTTTCCTCATCTAACCAGAATGCCTCTGATTCATTTCATGTAATGGCCAGCAATATAATGCCAATTCAATTTTGAAACAGCTGCTTTATGCAGTTCAGAGTTTATCCTATCTTATATAGTAGAGCTTAAACCAAACTTTTTTTGTAGCAACGAGTGGAAATAAATTTACTTCATATATACAAGTTTCATGGAATACAACAAATAAGCAACCAATTAGACAGAGTTTGCTAACCTGATGAAGGATATCGGGCCGGTAAAGAGCAGGATCCTTGTTGTTCTTCCTCAGGAAATTTGAGTGCTCGTCAGAATTCAATAGCTGATAAGTCTGCAAGCAAAATACAAGTTAAAAAAAATATTGAGAAAGATGCAAGAGTTGTAAGAAAGCAAAAGGCTTAGACCAACACTGAAGAAACAAACTAAAAACCAAATATTAAAAGCCTTAAACACCCATTTATCAGCTCCTACAAACAAATATACAAATGAAAATTTAAAAAACTAAAACAAACAATTAAATATAAAATAATAGAAATAGCAATGAAAAATCAAACCTTTCCAACTTTGGCAACTTCCAGAGAAGCTTTCTCGAGGATGAAGATAGCACCAGGTCCGTTCTTGGGGTTAATCTCTGCTGGGGTCATTGGAATACCCTCGAGCTCAATTGGGTCACTCTTCCTTTCTTCTGCTTCATTTCCTTTGCTCCGTTTTTTATCGGCTTCCTCTGTCTCTGTTTCTTCTGGTTCTGCTGCCGCTGCTGCTGCTGCTTCTTCTTCTTCCCCTGCTCTGTCGTATACATCTGCCTTCTTCTTTCGCTTCTTTCCCTTCACTGCATACGGCCTCACCATTTTTGTAGCTCAAACTCGCGGTTTATCGGCTTCTCAGAGACTGAGGCCACCAGAATATATGGCTTGATTGGAGAGTATTGTATTGGCAGTGAGAAAGTGAGAGTTTGGAGAAGACGATTATCACACGTTTAGGGTTTAGGGCAACATGTGATGTCGAGCTCAAACATTTTGGGCTTGTAGGATTTTGATCATAGGCCCAAATCTATCTCGGGATTAGTTGTGGGGCCATGCTATAGAAAAATTTTAATAATCTGAACCATTTATTTTTCAAATTGCAACCTATTTGCAAATTATTAGCTAAGTCCGAAATATTTAAGATATCTAATTAAGTTGAAAGAAATTGACGAATACTATATTTAAAAAAACATTGAAATTTCATCCTGGCAGTTAAATGGATAAATCGTTTCGGATTAAGTTCAATTTTTTTTATAAATGATCTATGAATCGAGACTTATAAAATAGACAGTTCAGATAGTTAAATTTTGATAATCCTCATTTTTTGAAAAAAAGAAGAAGATCCATCCCTTTAAAGAGCCTGGAAACATAAGTAGTGTTATAAAGAGAATTAAAAAGAGTAATTCCCATGTGAGATTGAAAATTTAAGAAATTTCAGAACGTCCAACCAGACCATAGCTTTGTTAGAATGTAATGGAAGATGAAGATTGACACAACGCACCTGTACAACGCCCAAACCACAGTCCATGGCCTACATATCCAAATTTGAACATTGAATACTATAAAAAAATGAAATAAAACAAGTGTGCCAAAAATAGGACGGTGGTTCCACGCTAGTGTCATGCATTCAATGCGACAAGCACTCAATACTTTGCGACAATCAAAGCAGTCTTGAATTTTGATCCGATTTGACCTCCACTAACCATGAGTTGACGACTTAGATTCTCAAAGAAATAGTTGATGATGTACAAAGAATGATTCAAGATCATGTAAAAGTTTCGAAGCATCATGATTGTCCCATTATGTGAGATAGATGGTCGGATGGAAAAAGTAAGAGTCTAGTCAAATTTCTTGTCAACACCCTGAGGGTGTGTTTGTTTCACGTTCTTAGGTGGGATTGGACTAGGTGTGAACTAGGTGTGGACTAGGGGACTTGTTAGCTCGTCTAAGTTAGTCCTCCGCTGAACTATGGGATTGCTAAGAACCTCACTAAGTGCTTCCTCCTTGACATGAATTGGTGAGAGCATGTTTTGTTTCCTTCCTTCTCTTTAGAATCCCAATCAGTCTATGAATCTCACTACAAATTTGAACTCGAGAACCTTGATTTCACCAACAATACAAGAATTCTTTGTCTCGTGGTCACTCGTTTTTCCACTTCTTTTCTTACAGTTCAAAGCTTATACAAACAAAAGGACAATTTAGTTGCTATGTGTTCTTTCCAAGAATGGTAACTATGCAAAATTTCGTGAAGCAATGACAATTAAGAATTTTCTTCTAGATCAAGGGTCCATACTTGTTTGTATCAACAATTTATTAAACATACATGTATATTAATAGACATATACACAAAATCTTATAGTTGTTAAGTACATTTGTTTATGTATATTTCATTTCAATGATGAAATTTAAATATCAAGTAGAAAGTAGTGATTCTACGCCACTTAATACTATGATCTAATGGTATTCTTCTTCACTTATAAGTTAGAGGTCTTAGGTTCGATTCCCTCCAATCACATTATTATGGCTCGCCCCTGTGAGGCTTTAGCCCACTCTCCCACCCCTAGTGTAGATAATATCGTTTGTTAAAAAAAAAGTAGTGATTCTACAACACCAAGTTCACATTATTAGAGTCTAATATGACATATAATTTGGATTATTTATCACTCATACTCACATTAGGAATAAAAACGAAAGTAAACAATTATAACTTATGAAACCTACCCAACCAAACCCGCCATAAAATAGTTTGTGTGGGTTGGTTTGCCCAATTTATTGGGTGGAAATAGATTTGAATAATGTGAATTGAGTTGGACAACAAGTTGAAGTCGAACCCTACCATATGATCCATTGCCCAACCCTAGTAGGGAGTGGGCTCTTTGGGGCTTTGAATCCTAGACTCCTCACCCTCCTCCTAATGAGCTAAGTTTTCTCCCTATTTCTTTCCAAGTTTTAGTGAAGGGAGCTGGAAATTGGATTTGAGGTGATAACATGAATCTAACGTGAATCTGAAGCAATAAAAATGGCGAGCGGGGGTGGCAGGTTCAAGAAGTGTTCCTTCTCCGCTTCAGTATAACTCAGCAACAAGAGAGCAATCAGTCAGAGCCTGAAACATTCGGGTCGACCCTAAGAGGTTGCCGAAAAATGACAAATTGCCGGGAAAGCTGCAGGGAGGGGGAAGTTGACGACGCTTGTTCTGCCATCGCGGTGGCTCCAATGAGGACACTAATAAGCACTTGTTAATGATAAATCTAATATTACATTCATTAAATAGTAACTAGATGTTCATTAAACAGCACACAAGAGGCACTGGCTAATGATAAATCAATCTCTAATATAATCATAAGCAACTCATGGATTTATTTTTGTTCATGACCACTCTTTGCAGCAGCAAGCTGCTTTTTAAGGCCGAGGACCTCAACTCCTTTTGAAGCTAACAGGTCCTTTAGCTTGACTGTAGCCTCCTCATACTTCCTGTTCATGTGATTGGACTCGTCTAGAGCGTCCTTGTATCTACTTCGGAAGGCATCTAACTTTGCTTGTGCCCCTCGAAGCCTCATTCGGAGCTTTGCTTTGTCTATGCTGTTTTCAACTTGGTCCTGACCAAAGTATAGTAGGCCAAATTAAGGACGCAGCAAAGAAAGATTATATTACCTGCGAAACTTCTTTTCTTTCTTTTCTTGAGAGGAAACAACTACGCATGAAAGTTTTAGATTTGAATTTCGACTCCACATGAAATTTTACTTTCATTTTTTTTCTTATTCCCTGTGGTGATACGTCACTCTTAATGCGACTGTTGTGAAGAAGTTAAACACTTGTGGTAAACCCCATTAGCAATTAAGGATCAAATCAAACTTCCATTAGTTTTCCATTAAAAAGGGGCTTAAAATTTTCATTTCAAACAATTCAGGTAACTCAGAAGCCAAAAGCATTAGAGTTTGAGAAGGCCGTTCGCTGACCACAGAGTTGGAGACTCACTAATTTATTGAAATTGGTATTTCATGTGCATTGTGAGGCTTGAGGCCTGGTGTAATCACCCTAAACGTAGTTCTGAATGGGTTTTGCAAGACGAGGAGTATTGAAGATGCTTTAAAGACGCTAAACAACATGACGGTGGACAAGTTTTGTGCGCCAGAGTAGGATCAAATAGAACAGACTAAGAGGTTTTGGGATGATGTTATTTGGCTATCACAGAATCACAGAAACACAGCAACTTTGTACATGCTGCAATTATCAAAGGGATTTACCTTCAAGGGACGTTAGATCAAGCATGTCATTTAATTTAGGAATGAGTAGATGCTGGGGCCTTTCCATATCTTTAAAGACATGTGATTAATGCTTCTGTATATTAGTATGAAGAAGGAAGGAAGCATATGAACTTGCAAGAGAGATGGAAGAAACGGACTGAAAACAGAAATCTGAAAATACGGTTCAATTTAAGCCTCAAGCCTCCGAATTTCCATCAAATCCTAATTTCAAACACCTCAACTGTATTATGCGAACGACCATCCCAAATGGTACAAGATATGAAGTTAATTGTTTGAAAATGATGATATTAAGCCCTTTACTAACGGAAGACTAATAGAATTTGGATTTGGACCTTAATTGTTAACAGGGTTCACCACAAGGGTCACCTTAGAATTGAGCTCTCACCACAGGGACCACAAAAAAAATTGGCCAAAATTTAATTAGAGATTTCTTGACTTCATTTGGAGCTAATGGATCTTAACATCCAAATGGTTAACCGGACCCAATTGTTGAAACTCAGCTGTATACTATTGTTTATCTTTATGACTACAAATATAGCAACTACATTGCAGGACAAATTCAAGTATATAAGCACTTACTTTGTGAGTCTTTAACTCCATGCTTGATATTCTCCTTGTCAGTTCCTCGACTTGAAACTTTGCCTCCAACAACTGGTATCAAGTTCATCATTATATGAGATGAATCTCAAACAATTAAGTACCACTGAGAAAAAAGAACTTTTCAGTCACCTACCAAATCATTGTAACGTTTATTAAGACTTTCTTCTTCAATTGCAAGTTTCTGGTGCTCTTGGATCTGAGTCACTAGATTATCCCTTTCAATTGTCAAAACATGGAGCTGGTTGTTGAGACTCTGTAGACAAAAACCAATGAATCAAAAATATTGAATAAATTTCAAGAATAAATGTTAGTTTCTTCCTTACAACTAACTACTATACTTCTTCCCTGAACATTATGTACTGTTTCGAAAAGAACAGAAATGGAGATATTACCTGGTAGTCATTTGGAAGTTCGGATAACTCTTTTATTTGAATCAACAAGCCTTCTCTTTCTTTACTCAGACAACTGAGCTCCTTCCGAAGCACATTCACCTCCTCACAATCATTAATTCCGCACGTCCCCCAGTTTGAGCTCAACATCTAAATGGTTTACAAGTAATTTTAAAAAAGAAACATACAGAACAATGATAAATACGTGTAATAATACCAAACAGTATTTTGAGAAGAAGCAAAAAACTCACTTCTTGAGACTGTTTGCTCAGAATATCATCTATACTCTCACCACTATTCAGTTGATCAATCCCCAAAGACTTCTCCACGCTGCAACAGAAGTATAATAAAATAATAATATTTTGGTCTTCCAGATATTCACAACTTTGATGTTCGGATTCAAGACATTCATTGGATAAAAAAAAAAAAAAAAAAGATTCAAGACATTCTAATACATACAGCAGGGGAAAAAATGAGTAATTTACACCGGATGGTAGAAAATAACAGGAGAAGAAATATTTTGGCAAGCAGAAACGTTGTCCTAAGCCTGCCGGATAGATAGAATAACAAACCCTTAACGGGGGAACATGAGTTTTTAGGGAATCGGTCAGCATGAATCAAGCTAACAACACCCATTACCCAACCCCAACAGAGCAGCAGAAGAAACCAACCCATATAAACTGCGTACTGGTTTCTGAAAGTTGAGGCATATAATTCAAGATTTATAGATTAGAAGACGTATGCTATCTTTATCTTTTATTAGAAGGGTGGGCTGAAACTTCAGAATAAAAAAGAAAAGTTTGCTGGAAAAGGACCATGATCATTTGTGATGTATATGCATGCATAGCAAAGATTAGACAATGACCAAGATGGTGTGAAACGGTGGCAAAGCCATAATTTCATCACCAAACCCAGTCAAGCAGCTCAGTTCAAGCACTGAGAGCTGCAAAAATACTAGACCTTTTGCTGCACCACAGAGAGAGAGAGAGAGAGAGAGAGAGAGAGAGAGAGAGAGAGATCCCCACCAATGGTACCCAAGACCAAATAATATTTAAGACGTAAGTAAAGTGGAGAAAAAAGGAGGGAAAGGAAACTGAAACAAACCTGAATGTCTTCTGTCCAGCTGTTTCCTCGCAACAAGTTAATCTTTCCCTTAGGACCTTGCACTCTTGTCTACAAGAGTCCAACTCATTCCTCACCTAACAGTTTGACATAATCGCAACCAATAATCAATAAGAAATACTGTGGGTTTTGAACATTCTATATCACAATTATATGCATCTGCAACAGGAAAAGACCAACCACAATAGTTCTGAATATACTTGGACAAATGGTCAAAATATCGTTCCTAATCATAATAACCAAATGGGAGAAACAAAATTGATATGTTTAGACAGGCAATTTAAATAAATAGAATCTTTTGTGACACCACAACCAAGGCTTCAAGGAAGTTCGGCAGGAGAGAATCAAACTGAGGGTGATACAATAAGGTCAATTCAATGAGTGGGAAAGAACAGTGAAACTTAATGGCCAAATTTACGCAATTTTCTCTCGAATTCAAGGTTTTGGGTAGAGATCATATCGAAGACTAGCAAGGAAACTCTTCATAGTGTACACAAGAGCGGAGATGAATACCACCTCAGACATTTCCCTTGTTAATGATGTAATCTCCATGTTGTATAACTTTGATTTCTCTTCCATCGCTTCAATGGAAGCCTTCTCCTTAGCTGACCATATTGCTCTTTCCTCCTCCATTTCCAAAAGGGAATCTGTAAGTTGCTGCAAACGAAAGATACAAATCAAATGAGCAACTATGCACCAAGAACCAGTTACACACACAAGCTTAAATAAGAGCTGATATTTTTATTTTATAATATAGGAAAAATTACTGCCCAAAATTAGGCTACCATCGCCAAGTCTTCCTTTTCTTCAGTGAACATTTTAATGGAACCTTCCATCTTTTGCTGCTCAAATGTAGATTCTTCTAACCTCTGCTTCTGGATGTACAGAAAGGTAACAATGAAAAATAAGAAAAATTCACATAATAAAGACACTAGCCATTTATTGATGGAAATGAAAGTACAAAAAGATTTGGGTTAGTGTGAAAGAGAAACAAAGACAAGCTTACCAGGGCCAAAAGCTCTTCCTGCAAAGCTTCCAGTTCCAAGTTTGATGTGCTCAGTTTTTCAGACAGGTTTTCTAATTCAGATGCTAAAGCATCGTTGGTGGACATAGCGTCTTCTTTTTCCCTGTATACAGCTGATAACTCTTCTTCTAGAGAATTAATCTTTGTCTCCGTTTCAAAAGCATAAACTTCCATCTTTTTGTATTCTTCCTGAAAAACAGAAAAGACCAAAAAAATAGAGTTATCATCATTAAATACTTAACAAAACTATGATGCTAAAATCTATATTTTATCCAAACGAGGCTAAAATGCTTAAGCAGAGTAACTTAAAGACCAAAGAACATAACAAGTAAATTCATGTAAATTTTACTTAAAAACCTCAACAAAATATTTACTATTCTCTTGTCAGCATTGACAATTATTTTCTTTTTGTATAAGTCGCTCATCAATTCAGCATATTGACATGTAAAGCTAAAATAACTTGCATGTTGTGTTACCAACATGATGCATAGTAAAGGAGCAGAAACTAGACATCATTTTCAGCACCTGCAATGTCTGTTCGAAGGCAAGGTTTTTTGCTCTTTTAGGATCTGATGTCTTCAAACCCTTATCATTAACTGAATCACGCCTTCTGCCAGCAAGCGACTCACGTTTGTTCATGTCACGTTCAAGAAGAGAGTTCTGACTGTGCAATCGTTTTATTTCTCGTTCAGCAGATGCTTTTTCACCCTGCAAATAGGCGAATATGTTGTAAAGTGAAAGGCTGTGATTTAATGATATCAATGACCAGAGCCAAAGGCACATAGTATCAAACCTCCAGTTTGGTTTTCTCTTGTATGGCGTTCTTCAGCTTACACTCTGTCTCTTTCAACTTCATTCTTGTTTTTTCAACATCTTTGCGCAGATTTTCCTTTTCCTTGGCCAAAGAACAAGATGATAAACCTGATATTTCTTTTTCAAGGACTTGTATATGAGAAATATATTCTCCCTTTTCCAAATCCTGTTGTTCCAACATTTCCTGAAATAATAATCAGAGAAAAGGACTTACTAATGATAATGGTAAGAATATTGCTTTAAAAAATGATAGTGATATAATGCCAACATAAAAACTTACCCTCAAAGACTGTTCGGAATTTTGAGTCTGCAGTTTCAGTTCTTCTATCTGGTTCTGAAGATCAACAGATTGATTGTACAAAAGGAACTGCATACCATATATTAATACAGTTGTTTAATGTGGTCTGGAAGTAAAAAAATTTCAGGATGTCTCACATAAGTAAAGTTATAACCTAACCTTTTCAGTCTCAAGTTCAGAAACTTTCTGCATCATGTAAGAGTTTAACTTCTCATGGTCACTGATAATTGTTTTTTGTTTCAAGGATAACTCGCACATTAAAGACTTGAAATCCTGCATTACAATGAAATCAGGCCATATGATGGTAAAAAGGAATTCAAACGTTCACAGAATAAAGACCACAGCAGCGTCAGAAAATAAATCAATATCACCTCAGAGATAACATCTTAAGACATCTACAAACTATTTCTTTTGACAAGTATTAGAATATAAGAAAAGTCATTATAAGATGATGCTTCAGAAATACTCACTAGGAATGTATCGAATAGCACAGAGAAACTCTTAGAGACCTCATCCAAAACTGAAGATACACTTTCAATTGCTATTTCTGAGCTTCGAACTTCCAATATTATTTCTTGGACCCCCTTTGCAAGCTCGATCAAAAAGTCAGAACTTCCATCCTAGATGAAGCTATTGAAAGTTAGCTGCATATACTTTAAAAGAGAACATGTATACTCAACCAAATCTACAGTATGAACACTGTACAAGTTGTGAGTAATAGATACTAATGATCGTCATAGAGTTTAACACCAAAGAAGGAGATCGTACATCAACTTTTGTTACAGATTCGTTCCAACTACGTTGATCACGAGCTACCCTGGCCTCCTCACGTGCAACTTGAAGCTCTTCATAGAGCTATTTACATTTAAAGAGACATGCCGATTTTAAAATTAACAGACAGAAGGAACTTCTTAATAACAGATCTAAACAATTAAAACAGAGAAATGAGTTCTCTAGATCTTTCTAACCAAGAAACCATGGAGCAGGAAGTGAGCGGGCATATGTACATACATAAAACAGTAACTTAAAACAGATACAACAATTTGACTTCATGTGTAATACCCTACTGCTGAAAGCTCAAAAGATTTGATCATTTTTAAAGGCTGTGTTTTTGAAACAGGCTCTTGTGAGTCTGACAAGAGAGAATATACAAGGCATTTTTACCTAAAATACTTTCAGCTGATAGCCTGTCAAATATATATAGCCCTTCACACGGGGAACCCCGCTCAACTGTAGCTAGTCCATATTGACACACGCACGTGTATAAAGGTATGTAGTATATACAGACATGGAGGCATATTGAGTGGTGGAGAGAGAGAGAGAGCTATCCAAGGTGCTTTAAGTTCTTAAAATGAACTGAATACGATTTTCTTTTTCTTTTTGTTATTGCAGGTGGGTGGTGATAATAAGCTTGAAGCTTAAGTTTGCAGCAGATTAGCGCTAAAAATATATCAAATAAAAATAAAAGCCATGCAATTGACTGTCAATGCAATTATTGACGTAAACATTTAAATGTACTAAGATCCCAAAAACATCCTGAAGAGTAGCTCTCTAAACGAATTGATGAAGCTGCTCATAGATTAAAATCTATTCACACGTTTATACAGAACAACTGACTAACATAAACTATGATTACCTCGTCAAACTTCTCCTGGGCACAAATGTTTTGCTCAGTTGCCAGCTCAACTACACTATCCAGATTTTGCTGGCTTGAAGACTTCTCTGTTTCAAGCATCTTAATCTGCAAGTAAAGAACAGACAAAATGTCAAAACAAATAAAAATTCAATTAGAAAGATACTGAATTATCAGAAGTTTAACGTGCATAACAGTTTTAAAAAATTCCGTTTTAAAGAAATAAAGAGCAAGAGAATTACCTGTTCTTGAAGTCGCTTAATCACAAGAATAACCTCTGGCTCTCTTAAACTACCGTTATTGTCCCCATTAATGGGACCTTTATTGATATAAGACTTGGAGTAATCATTATACATTGCTCCAGATAACATATCAGCCTCAGCGAGCTTCCGTGTCAAGCAATCAATTTGTATCTCACTCAAAGTTCTCTGAATGAGGTAAAGATTAGTATAGAGTGTAACAACATTTGCTGATGCATTCAGGGGCAGAAACAGTTATATATAGGAACCTGAGTTTCATATTTGATAAGCAAATCTTCGTATTCTGCTTGCAGATCTCCTAATTCATTGTCCTGTCAGACAATGGAGATTAGAATTGTGGATTGCCTAAGGTTCAGTATGGCAAAATGTAATGGAAATAGTACAAACCAAGGGTAAGCTTTTCGTCCTGGGTGGCACTTTTCTCCTATTAGTAACATGCAACAAAGCACATGGATCAGGAAGAGCACAGTCCTCCAACGTGATACTTTTACTTTCTTCGTCTTCTTTGCAAGACTCATTCTCAGAAACTTCAATCTCATGCACCAGTTCTTCAAAAGGAAGAAGTGGTCCGATGTCACGCTTCAGTCTCATAGGTTTTGCAGCAGATGCCTTCGACTGGATGGTGGATGGCACCTGAAATGCAGGAAAGTAATAATAATAAAAAATTAATAATAGCTTAAACTTATCGCACAACTGGATGATAGACATGTTCAGAAAATTCAGGGACCACATCAACACAGATAACAAAAGCACGTGAGATGTATTTGGAGCAGCCTGTGTCTTATCTTTATCCAGATTAGGCAATATAAGTCACAAATAAAAACTTAACAAGTTTTTACAACAGAATCCAGCCAAATGAAAGATATGCATAGCATTATATGAAAGTATTACCTTATTCTGACTAAGGAATGTCACAAAAGTATTTTAAATTCTACTTTGTATGGGGAAAAGGTTCAACTCCACAAACTGTGATGTTCGCCCCTTACGATTGACTGCAGATACTTTTCCTAATTTCCGGCTCCATTTGGGGCCATATCCATCACATGCCATCACTTTTCTAGATGGTAACACTTTCTCCTGTTTCCTATGAAAGAATTTGGAAGATTATGCTGGAATTAGAGGGGAGGAAGTATCTTTTTAGGCTCCAGTATCTTCTGTATCACTGATGCATATGAGGATGTTTCTGCCCTAGTTAGATGTTGAAACTTGAAACAGGGTGGTTAGATCTTAGATTCAGGGGCCATGTTGTCCAATCTTTTGTGTAATCTCCTTTTCCTTTACCAAAACATATTTCCTATCAAAATTAAGAAATTTCCACAGCTGTATTATTTGGGGAAGATTAAAATTTCCATGATTGCACATTGGTGGTGAAAATCTTGGTAGCTAAGCTTTGCATTGATTTGTTCAGTATAAAATGCAAATAAAATTACACTTCCAGTAAGTACCACCAACAGTGCCCAGTTTTTACTTATTTTGCATTCTACAATAAACTAAACAGACAATAAACAACACATGGGCAAGAATAAATCTTTCGTGAATCTATTAAAAATTGGTATTTGTAAACAAATTTAACATGAGAATTAATTATCATATACACTTAGTAAGAATAAAGTATTACCTCTCCCAAAGTCTCCCTTGCAAGTTTACCTGGACACCAAGTATCACGCCTCTTCTCCTGCAGAAACAAACTGGAAAACTTAAATAGAACCAGAGAGAAGGAGAACAAGAGATAGATAGACAGACAAACAGGGAGGGACAAGTCATAGATGTACATATGGTCGGGATACTGTCACCTTCAGTAACGGGAAAGCCGGAAAGGGCCTAAAACAATTTTTTTAAAGAAAAGTCACATAACGTGAGTTCCACTGAAACACAAGGAAATCTATTGGAAAATCTCCTAATTTAGCTACTGATATGCTGCAGGATTGCCCAGATTATGCATCACCATGACTTGTATAATTGTATTCCACTAAAAAGATAGTATTTAATTGTCATTGGTTACTTGACCCGTATAACTTCTTTTGCACAGCATTTCCTCTTCACACCTGGGACTAATGTACATAACAAAGGTTATCTGCATATAAACCTGCCCAAAGAAGTAAAGGATCAAGGATAATGACTGGTACAATCTTCCTTTTCTGTTCCATTGCTTGAGGGTTATTTATTTTTCCAGGACTGCTTTTTACCAATTAAACCCTTTTCCAGCAGAGCTAGTAACAAAATCAGTTCCTCCATCTCAAAGTCATGTAAGTTCCTTCTGAATGACGAATCCCAGCTAAATTGAATTGTTAGGACCTATTTGATCCCAACAATTGTTGAGATTGTTTGACAGATTACAATGCCTCCTAACTCATAAACTGATCTGTCAACACTTCCTCCCGAAACCTGACCCTTTCTCCATCCTTAACATCAATTTACAAGGCACTCTGAGAAACTACCGCAACCTGGTGAAAAATGTTTTTTCATGTTTATGACTTGACCCACAACTGTGTCCCATCCATTTCCTTGGATTCCATCCCACATACCCTACCCCTCCACCCATCCCAATTACCGAACAATGCTTTGTTTATTTATTTATTTATGTTTTGGTTACCTATCCCTAATCCCCGTCTTTGTATATGAAGATTTAACTAATCTTATCTCATTGGCAACGATACATTATAACATCAAGCATATATTTTGTGTTTATAGATAACAGAAGTTTGAACTTTGAAGCTGTTATTCTCATTTTCATAACAATAAAATTAGGAAACAAAACATATATATGGACATCAAAACTCATTATACAGAAGTCTGCAATGAAAGATAATTAATCATCATGCAAACCTTTTTCAAGCGGTCGCGATTCTCATCTCTATTTGAATACAACACCATTGAACTCAGGTTCTCAATTTTCTTAGCTTGCTGTTGCACCATCTTCTCTCGTTCTGCTTGGGCTTTTTTTTCCTCCTCCAACTCCAAAGCTATACGCTCCCTCTCTAACTCAGTCTGCACAGAAAGTATGCATATTCCAGAATACACTTGAATTCAACTAATTACAATAAACATAAAGTGTATATTTCCAAACCTGCAATAACGTATTTCGTAGATTGAGGATTTCCTCTGCCCAATGTTCTGAATGAGATTCCTGAAACATGCCGAATATTTAAATTCCTTTATTTTGCATTGACAATCTATATTTATAATGATTATCATACATGAGTGACGACAACTAAAATAAAAGCAAAATCAACCTGCAATTTCGCTCGAAGCTCCTCAATTTCTTTCTTTTGACGCTTGAGAAGAGCAGCATCTGTTAGAATCTGCCAGGAAGGACATACGTTGAAATAATAACAATTAAAACATATGATAGACATACAAGAACAATTCCTATGTCCAATGGATACAAACTTAGGAGAATCTGAAAGGGAACATTCAAAATTAACCCAAGAAAGATTGCAACAAATAAAGTGAGTAGAAAACCTCATTGACATGAGCACAATTCGTGACACGTAATGCTCTACTTGCAAATTGGAGACTGCTTTTAGTCTCATCTGCATGAATCTGACATAAAACAAAGGTATGAGAAACCAAGAAGAACACAAAAATGTAATATTGAAAAGTTAAAAGAAAATTCATCCCACAAAACGCCCATTATTTGGTCTGAAAACAGATTCAAAGAACCAACCATAGAAAGGAAGTCGCCGGACATCCAGATATACAAAAACATATCCACATATGCATATTATTACATATCCAAGCGATGTGCAAAAAGGGGCAGATCTGGAACTCACTTGACCTTACACTGCCATATGCTTTAGGACTGTAGTGATGGTTGGTTCAGGTTTCTGGGGTTGGTTGGGTTAGTCCTCAGTCACCTTTGGATATTCTTGGTGAAATGTTTAAGACTTCTGGGGTTGAAAGGAAAGAAAGAATATAGTGGAACTGTATTTTGGTAGTTTTGTCAGACAGAAATTCAAATTTTGGGATGAAAGAAAGAATTGTTGGGAAAAAGCAAAGTCACATTTGGGGTACATATGAGTAGGTTTTTTCAGTTAGATGACAGAGTTATAGTTTGGTTTTGTTTTGTTTTTTCTATGAAATTATCACGATGATGGTGACCTGGGTGCACAGAGTCTTGTTTCTTGTATTTTGATTGGTATTAATAAAGCCTGGTTCTCACTAAAAAGGACTATAGGAAACATTACTTGTGCTAGCGTGATGTTGCATATTATAGCTGTGTTTGCATTTCCACCCAAAGCAGGTTGCAATATGCGCGTAAGTTTGCTATCTCGATATGGGACATGTCCCCTGCATCATATATTGAGGAAGGTCAATCTATGTATAGAGATATACACTTAAGATCCAACGAATGCAGAACCTACCCTTGACTCTCAGCACCTTCACTCAGTTTTTTAATGACAGTTCCCAAAGTCATAAGGCTTTTATTGATATGGGAACCCTCTTTGAGCCGAACACCTTCTGCACCGGTTTTTGCAGCACGTTCAGAACCAGCTAGGTCCACTAAATTCTAGAAACAAAAGAAAGCATTTGATCCATAATAAAATAGGAGGAAAGGAAAAAGAAAGATATACTGATTTTGACAGAAACATACCAGAACTGAAACACGGACCGCATCACAAGAATTAGCAATATCTTCACCTTCATGTTTATCTCGGCTTTCAATTATCTATTTAAAGCATCATAATAATAATAACCATGAGCCACATAAGATGTATAATCCAAATGACAATCAACAATGGTAAGAATGTAAAAGTATACCATGCGGAAAATAGTGTGGGACCTACTACTGTACAGATTCATATTTGTCTCTCCGATATGCCGATGAGCTGAAATTTTAAAAGATAAAAGCGTCAAAATACTTTCAAATGGCTGATATATTTAATAGATAGTGCACACAAAAACTAGGGCAACCCATAGCACCTCTGTTTCAGGTGAAAGGAAGGGATTGAGAGTGTGCGGTGTTTGGTGTTTTAAGTAGAGTGTCTCTACATGTATGGCTGTGTGTGTGTTTGTGTGTGTGTGAGGGTGTGAGACTGAGACAAAGACAAGCCTAAAGATTGTATTGATAGAAGTTCAGAGAGACAAAGAATTCGAAGAAAAGGAAAAGCTGAGAGATGGAATGATTTTGGAAACTAACTACAGTACTTGCAGTTCACACATTCTTTAATCCTAATTGCATACCCCAAACAGAAGTACAACAGTGATAGCTAATCCGTTTAGGGAGAACTTAATAACTCTTGATAAGTACTTTAATACAGATGAATACATATAATACTGTAAAAAGTAATTACACTCTCCGAACTCCATGAGATCAAGGACTTGCTCTGGAGAGGCAACAATTTCTTCTCGCAACCCAGCAACATATATCCCTCGCTGTATTCATAAAGGGAAACGGAACTTTCAGTTACTTAAGTACTGATAAACTATCATAATAATTAAACTATAACGTAAATTCAATACCTCTAGACTTTCATGAATTTGCAACTTTCGATGCTCAGGAGCCAACAAATCATTTATGTCCTCATTATAGATCTCCATATAAGACATTCGTAATAGGAATTCCCGATCCACATCCTAAAATCAAGAAATAACTTGAGAATGCGCAATTGGGCATACACTGGGTTTCCAATATAAATATTAAAATAAAATTTCTATGTTAAGGAGCTAAACCAGTGAACAAATTCATGAATACAAAATAAAGAACTATGGTCACTGGTAAGTCTTAAAGAATAATTGACTTTAAGTGATCTATTTAGCAGTCCACACACTATAATACTTAAGCTATGTATCAGATGTAACCTACTCAGTTTAGCCATTTGCCGAGTCTAGGACAAGTGGACAGCATAGAATAGCTTCAGCCACCCTTACATTAAACGGATCAAGCTGTGTCCTTAGGGGTCCCAGATAAAATAAAGTGGCATCAACAGTCACTCTGTACAAGTCTCAGCTACAAAAACGATTACGAAATCGCTGTTTGATTGATCTAAGTATGCTAATTACCAAAGTGTATTAATTAATATTACTAGAAGTGTGCACAACAGTTTTCTGCAGCCAAGAACTGAAATGATAAGATAATTTCTAGGCATATAAAACGTAATAATATAAGTTTGAACGAACATTTAAGCGTTAGAACTCGCACCTTGTTTGGTCAGAGAAATTTCAGAAATTAATTACTTTGCAATTTACAGTGTTACCAATAATCCATACCAAATTACACATTTGACAATCCAACCAAAGTACCTCTTGAATAATGTCGAACATATCGCGCACTGCAAGAGGAATCACCCCTGGTTCAGTAGCCGAGCCTCGAATGGTGTGAGTTTTCCCGCTGTTAGTTTGCCCATATGCAAACACGGTTCCTATAAACAAATAAGCAAAAAAGAAAAAGAAAAAAATAAGTGACAATTCAAAATAAATAAATAAAAATACCATTATTTAAATTGGGAACATTGAAGGTACCATTGAAGCCGCGAACCGCGGCGGCGACTATATCTTTGGTTTTTGATTCATAGACCTCGAAAGTCTTACAATCTTCACCGAAAATTCGATCTACAAACCCAAACAAAACAAATCTATGTAAATTGGAGAAAGAGAAGACATCTAACCCAGGAAATTGAAAAGTTCAGAGGAGAGAAAGAGGGTTGAGTGGGTACCGAATTCGAACTTGGAGTAGTTGGGGATGGCGATGGAGTTGCCGGAGATGCGCCAAGGGCTGGTCTTGGCGTCTTCGGCTGAGAGCGGCCGAGCACGCACAGTGACGTGTATTCTCTCCATTCTCTCTGGCTCTGCAGAATTAGTTGGCGGTTTTCAAAAGCTCATTTGGGTTTTTGCTTTTGGGTTCTGGCTTTTTTTCCCGCCTCTGTGTGCTTTGGAAGTGGGAGAAGACAACGCTGCTAAATTACGGAAATAGGCTTCTCGAAAAGCATTCGCTGGAAATAAATAATAAAAAATAAGCTCGACTCCTAGCTCACAAGAGAATTTTCAATGTGATCAGAATACGAAATGATACACGAGATTTCTTAACACTTCCATTACTATTTTATTATATTGGGTTTTGGGTCCACTTGAACCCACTCTCTCAGTTCTCCCCGCACTCACCCAATTCCTCTCCCTTCCTCACTCAGTTTCACACTTTCCTCCCCCTTTGATTGTTCGCACTTTCTTCTTCCTCCTTCCACATACACACACGACGACAATGGCGACACCACCACCGATTCTCTAACAAACTAAGATCATACAGCACCATCATTACATTCCTCCTAGCACCTTGAACTCGTCGAGTTGGGCAAGACTGTTGGAGTAATATTAGAAAATATGAAAAATAACAATATAATTCCAATAATAATAATCATAAAGAAATTCACAACATCAATTATATATGAGATTAATATAAACAATTAGAGAGAAAGTTAGAATAACTGACAAACTTGGAGATTGAAGCTTGTATAAATGCAATGTCCTAAAGATAGAATGTCGCCCCTACTCTTATGCTTGTAGTTCGGTAAGCGTCCATCTCCCAGGATTCAACAATCTATAATCTAAAGTCAAAGCACTTCAATCTTCGGACTCTGGCGAACTTTATATATTCTGTACACTCAAGACACGACTCGGAATTTGACTTACAAAGCATGAGAGAAACAAAGTGGGGAAACCCTATTTCTCAAGAGTAAAAATTAACTCTAATTTTCTATATCTAATACCACTGGTTTCATGGGTTTATATAGAATCCAATGTCTACTTATTAAAGAGATGTAATTTTTCATCTATAAGTATACATCACTTATCAAGGGACACCTAAACAACATAACCTTTCTAAGAAATTGGTTAACAATATTTTTAATTCAATTATTAAAATTATATATTACAATATTTCATATTATAATATATAATTTTCAACAATCCCCCATATGAATGAAAAATTAGAAAGAATTTGAGAGTGCAAACAAATAAGAGATGCATCGAGAGATGTGTCTTTTGGACTTGAACCTACCCTAGTGAATAATTATCGGATTTACTTGGTGACGCAGTGAATATAGAATCTTGAACTGCTTACTGCAGTAGTAAACCGAGACAATAAGCAACACACACCTCTAATCCTAATATATTCCGGTTCATACGGTTGTGTTCATTTTGGTCCTGAACAAATCCCGGATTCATGAGAGCTTTAGAGAATTTAGTCATCGCATACTCATAAAAGCGACCCACTTCTACTCTCACATAGGTGACCACTGATTAAGAATAGTCTACTCTATTCCTCTTATTTATAAGATATCACTGTCATTAAGTATAAATATGCATCCTAAAACTTCTGCAAACAACACACTTCTTCCACCATAGGAATAAGGTATATAGTGAGTTAACTTCTTTGAATCATGCCCAACCAGTTTGCCTATTGAACTTAAATCATGGAATCTCCAATCAACTAAGTTAGGTTTCCGCCCGGCTAATTCATTAGTTATGTTGGCTTTAGCCTCATTCCCCTCGATGATCAACTTACTCTCTAGTCAAACCTTCAATAATTGGTACCACTAAGGTTGTTTAAGGTGTGCACAGTCCATTTTATGAAATTATATTTCATATGAGAGTAGTTGTTTCTCAATTTTAAGTCCTCAAAAGTATATATATGTTGGGACTCTTCTAAGTAATTTGCCTATACTTGAGTAAACTCCCCCCACATTTAAGGTATTTATTGATAAGTCTATAACCTTTCAATACCTTAAAATACCATTGCAAGAGATATTCTTTATCTCTTTCTAGAAGCAAATTACTTTTTCATTCTACTTAAGTTGACATATAATCCAAAGATAACTATGTCACTCCCCCACAATTCACTCACATTGTGGTTGCTTTTTAATACTATCAATTACTCTTCATCATACTTAAGAAGTAGGAACCAATGAATATATTTTCTCTTTATCTATCTTCACTTCTAGGCTTTCAAGCCTCACAAGTCATTTTTATGTCTATCTTCAATTGTTAGGGGTTTGTCTGTAGAATGTACACAGTTTCCACTATAAGCCTCACCCTAGAGTGCTTAAACCTTTTAAAGTAGACTTTGGCCCCCACAACTGAAACGTCATCTTCAAGATGAATAAATCAAACAAAATGAGTTTATGCTTTACAATTTAACTAAGGACAACATCATTACTGATTGTCACTACTGAAAGTCAAATTTCATCGTCTTACCATGATGAACATGGTTCCCATTACATTACTCCTCTTTCGAGAAAGTACTCATAATTCTCCATAGTACAACACTTGATATACACTGGAGAAATACAAATATGCAATTATGATATGACAAACGATAATAATTGCATTTCTATATACCTTGTATTGCAGACATGGATTTTATGAATACACACATAAATCTGATAAATATATGCATATTAGTAGTGCATTTCTTTATTAACCAATAAACATTTGGTATGCACCTATCTGAAATAGGCAGTTTGGTCATTCACCCAAAATCAGTCATAATTTTTCCCTCTGAAAATATTTTAGAAGTATAATCTTCTAAATATTCCCATCATGATCAAGTTCCAACCCAAAATTGGATTGGCGTCATATCATTCATTATATACATATCTTCTAATAGCCATGTATATATGCATTCGAAACATTATAAATCCTTTTGATCAATCTTGAAGGAAAATTTTGGTTTCATAAAATCACCTTTGAATCTGACAATAATGAAACCCATGCGAAAATCAAAATCTTCGATCATCTGTATCATGCATATCTAGTCCATGTGGGAATGAATTGAAAGTTTATGATACAGACATTTTTCTCGGCAACCGTGAACCAAACTGATCAAGCAAGGCATCTGTTGAGAAAAGTCATTGGGGATGCCCAAATATCCACTGGCCTGATCACAAACCATCTGACCCTTGCAGTCAACCAATGTGACTTTCTATTACAATGTGGCAATACCCATACAAATTTTCGTCCAGGAAGTTCATCTATTCGACTTACAATTGAATGCATCTTCTGAGACATATCTATATTGAATCCTTTTCAGTTATGAGATAACATGTTTGATACAAACCCAGATTTACACTGTTGCATACAGTCCACAAAAACATATATTTATTTCTCACGTAAATCAGAAACTAACGAGAGTAAACTCACAGTAAAATGCCAAGAAACATTCAATTCTTGGCACATCAAATACGACACCATATGTTGTCCAATACTTTCAAAGCCACAACTTTAAACTCTAAATATGAGAATCGCGAACATTCATATTTTTCTTTTTTTCTAATTATTGCATAAAAAAAATTTCTATCTTTAGATTGTTGGAGCAATATTAGAAAATATGAAAAATAACAATATAATTCCAATGATAATAATCATAAAGAAATTCACAACATTAATTATATATGAGATTAATATAAACAACTAAAGAGAAAGTTAAAATAACTGACAAACTTAGAGATTGAGGCTTGCATAAATGCAATGTCCTAAAGATAAAATTTCGCCTCTACTCTTGTGCTTGTAGTTTGGTAGGCGTCCATCTCCCAGGATTCAACAATCTATAATCCGAAGTCAAAGCACTTCAATCTTCGAACTCTGGCAAACTTTATATATTCTGTACTCTCAAGACATGACTCGGAATTTGACTCACAAAGCATGAGAGAAACAAAGTGGGGAAACCCTATTTCTCAAGAGTAAAAATTAACTCTAATTTTCTATATTTAATACCAATGGTTTCATGGGTTTATATAGAATCCAACGTCTACTTATTAAAGAGATGTAACTTTTCATCTATAAGTATACATCACTTATTAAGGGACACCTAAACAATATAACCTTTCTAAGAAATTGGTTAACAATATTTTTCATTCAATTATTAAAATTATATAGTACAATATTTCATATTATAATATATAATTCCCAATAGAGACTACCACTACCAATCAACTCATCATTATCCCTAGCTTCATATTCGAACCTTGCAAGCTCGAATATGCCTTGAATTCGAAGAAACCCAAGAGCCCAATTTCGAGCCGACACTTTCAGTCCACTTTCAGACCATTTCTAGCCACCTTTTAAACTCCCAATAGGTAAAATCTCATTCCTGGTTGTTCAAGCTTCATTTTGACATATTGTACATGAAGAATGGTTGAGTTTTGAGCTTGTTTTGGCTCTATCAAAACTTCAAAGCCAAAAACCTAGATTGTGGCAAAATTTCGACCTGTGCACGGTAGCTGCAACAACCAGAGTCCCTTGAATATTCCTTGGTGGCGACTGAATATTCTATCCACGTGACCCAAACTTGGAACATTTCGGTCAATGTCGAGGGAATATTCCACCCTCTTCATGTGGATGTGGAGACGCATGCAGACCTTTTGCCGGTGTATGGCGGTGTGTGCGGAGACACATAGCAGCCCACGACGGTGAACAAGGTTTTCTCGATCCTATTTTTCAGTAGTCTTCGTAGTATTTGATTAGTATACTAAGTGTGAGTTATTTCACTATAGGAATGGTATCCTCATGGATTACAAAGAGCGTGCAGACAAGGCTTTTATGACCATAAGGTGTAATCTGTGAGTGCACTTTTGATTTTAAACTATATTATATATTTTCCGAAACTGGTTTTACGTGATGCTTTTATATCATGCCTTACTTTTACACAGATAATGCAAATGTTTATTGTGATGATGATGATCTGATTTTTTATTTTTTTGAGAACCTTTCTTGGGAAAAGTTTTACTATCGTGTATTACTTTTAGGAATTGCAATGGTTATTATGATTTGTAACGCTTGTGATTTGAGACATTATTCATGACATGTTTTCATATGACTTATCTGCTCATCATGTATGCTTACACATGAAAGATAATATGATATGTTTGTAAACTCAACTCAATAATGAGAGAGCCGGATTCCAT